TTTTCACATTTTGCGGCAATATATGCCCCACAAAACCACATAAATGGGGTATGAAGTTATTAGTGCTAATGTGACTCTTATGGTTATTCATATGGTTTTGAACTGTATACTGGGGCAGGTGATAATGTTGTTCCGACTGGAGTACCAGATTTAGGAGCGGCTGCAAATGTTGTTTCGAGATTGTCTCAAATAGTAGCTAACCATCAGAATCACATCATTACTTTGACAACTTTATACGACATTGCCATTGATGACTTATTTATATAGCAGAGGAATATATTCATTGGGAGCAATTCGAACAAATCTTATTCCGAAATGCAAATTATCTAAAGATAATGAAGTTTCAAAAGAAGAACGCGGATATTCTGAAGAATATGTGGGCTCATGCCATGGCGTTGATATATCAACCACCTTATGGAAGGATAACAAATGTGTACGACTAGCATCAACTTATGTGAGAATCCAACCATTTATAACCAGCAATGAGATACAAACAACTCCAAAAGCCTCCCGTTTTGATCGTAAACAAAGAAAGAGAATTGAAGTGAACTGTCCAAATGTAATCCACGAATATAAACGCGCACATGGGTGGTGTTGACCTGATGGATGGTCTTTTAGGCAGATATCACATCAGAATGAAAACCAATAAATGGACAGTCGAATATTTTATCACATTTTTGAACATGACTATGATAAATGTCTATTTACTGCATAAACGAATAAATCAAAGAAACTCTATATTCACCATAGAGTTACCGGTTTTTTAGAAAACTGATTGCTGCTGTACTATGCAAACGTGAAATAGGTGATGCCATAAAAACACCAGGGCGCCCGAAAAAAATACCAGAGACTCAAAAACTACTTCCTAAGAAAACATATTTACCACTAGCTGATAATTCGTTTTGACAAAATCGACCCACTTTCCTGAATGGTTGGATCGTAAAGGTAAACGCCAATGCAAATTCCCAGGATGCAAATCAGAAACTCAGTGTATTTGTTCAAAGTGCAAAATAAATTTATGTTGTTGCAAAGCAACAAAAAACTGTTTTTTTTCCAATTTTCATCAAAACTAATGTAAAAGAAGTTTGTTATAAGACAAAAGTAAGTAATAAATGTGTGCATAATTTCCAATCAATTATTTTACCAACCTCATACTTTAGAAATATTTCCTCTACTCACTGCCCAGCTCCGCCTCAAGGCGGACCTTTGATTATAGGGTTCAAATTTCATCTCACATGAAAAATGTGAGATTAGATTTCTATATTAAATGACCTTAAATAACCTATAGTGATTTTTAAATAAAGAAAAAAAAATGGGCACTAGAGGGTTAAGTATCTTGCTTTAGATTTGACTAGTATGCTAACACATTTAATACTTAAGCTGCATACAGCAAAGCAAAAATCGTTTTGTTTTATGCAAAGCAAAAGTTTTATGTGAATGTTGCGTATTCAATGTAAAATATAGAGAGCCAAATACCATAATTTGTGACAATATTTAATAAATACAATACTTAAAATTGTGAGATTATTTAGTATTTCATTATTGGGTATCTAAGATTCCAGTGACACAACTATCAGTGCTAAACTAAAATTACATTAGTTTTGTAATTAAATTTTTTACTAATATGTCACTCTAATTTAAATTTAATACCCAAATTATACCTTCACACTTTACAAGCAACTACAAATTTACAAGGTAGAAATATATTATCTATATAAATATAACTCAATAGAGATTGGAAACAAACTAAATAAATATTTTTGTAAGTAGTACTGAGGGAATTATTGCCTTTTAAAGGCTGTGGTAAATATGGTAAAACCTGAAATCAGCTGGATTCTCATTTGGGTTTATGCACACGAAAGTATATATTCAGAAACCCTTTTAGAAACATTTTTATTTTACTGATCTTAGACAGTGAAGGACAAACGCGACCCATTAGCAACGGTCGGAGTATACCGAATACCATGCACATGTGGAATAATATATGTGGGAACCACGAAAGGACACACAAACACAAGGATATAGATACATAAAACCATTGTCGTTTAGGACATATCGACAAATCTGCCGTTGCCGAACACGCTTTGGGAAGCGGAGAATATCGGATACTCTTTGAAGAAACACGAATGCTGGATAAAACATCCCAGTACTACCCACTGTTATATCGGGAAAGCGGTGGAAATAATATAAGCATCCAAAAATTTCAATCGGACTAAAAATTAACAAAAACATG